GTCCATGCAGTTATTATAATTACATAAACACATTATGCAATTACTACGTGATTGGGATCCAGTGTTATTCATAAATCATACCAGGCTGAAGCTCCAGACGGGCAGTTTTCCTGTTTTTACAGTATATAGTTAACAGCATAGGCATCATACTCCCTTGCAGGTATTATCTGCAACAGTTTATCATGTGAGGCTGTACTAAACCATTGCTGCTGTACTACAGCCAGCAGTCAGCATGTGATAATCATGTCAAATGGCAATTATTAACTCGTTCTTAACACTGATTGTCAACAGAAACATACAATTTAATCTACACACAATAACTGTACCAAAGAGGAAATATAATATATATATATATATATATATATATATATATATATATATATATATATATATATATATATATATATATATATATATATATAAATCATCCAATATTGCAACCTCTAGACATCCAGTAAATCATTTCTGGGTGCGTGTTCATATCGTATATCAGCATGTTATTTCAATAAGAAGTCCTACCGCAGAGTTTCGAAGACAAAGTAACCTATCCAGTATGCTCATTACGTCATCTCCCCGGCCCCATCTTCCTCTTATGGTCATAAGATACCCAGTTACAGATGAACATCTATACAGGAACTATTCAACATTATGATTCACCAGTTCACTGTATCTGTTCTTACCTCCGCCAGATGTCATTAAACTTTGATGGTGATCCGAATCAAGGATTTTTTTAATGATTGCACCAGTTGATAAATAGATAAGGTTATGTTTTTAGTCGAAATGGTTTGTTGGTTTGTTCACTGGTTAGCAGGATAACTCAGAGAGGTCAGAACATGAAATTGTTTATCAGATTTGTATCCTTGCATAACTTTGGTTCCATGAAATGTTGATAGTGATCCGGATCGTGAACCGTATCCAGGATTTTTTTGAATGATTGCATCCGTTACCCTTATTGTTTTGCCTCCGCCAAGGAGTTTATGTTTATGGTCGTAACCTGTGTACTTGAGAAAGATGATTTCAATGTAATTTTTCGTCTGAGCATTTCTATCATGTGTCGGTTATTTAGTTAACGCCTCCGTTCCGCATTCCAGAAGCGCGGGAGCCTCTCCCGAAGGCGACAACACGACTTTCTCCGAGTTCATCCGCTTCATCTCAGAGCCCGGCCACGGCACCTTCGAGCAGAGGAACGAGCACTGGCTGTCCGTGCACGAGCTATGCAACCCGTGCGCCGTCAAGTACGATTTCGTGGGCAAATACGAGAGCCTCAAGGAGGACGCCAATTACGTGCTGGACTGGTTGGGTGTCACGGACCTGGTGAAGAGTTTCCCCGCTTCCGATCGGCCGTTCTACGCGCGCCGCTACGACCCCAAGTACTTCAACCAGCTCAGCCACAGCGACAAGATGGCCTTCTTCACCAAGTACCTCGCGGATTTTGTGGCCTTCGGTTATGACTTCGTCTGACCCAAGAGCATTGCATTTGTATTTGTAACAAATTAGTCAAAAGATAAAAAATAAGTGTGTGTGTACTTAATTAGTTTAGATACAAGAGAGAGAACTGAGCTCAGAAGAACCAGTCTGCTATATTTTGAACAGATGTATATTTCTGATACATACAATATTTCCTGGAAGGTTGCTCCTCAATTTAATAGTTTCATTTAGCAAACTTTTCCTTTTCTTTTTTGTATCCTGAGCTCCACTCTTTGTGTGTGATTCCGTGGAGAATAGTCAGTCCCGCCTTTTTCCTCTCTCCTTGTGTTTTATTTATTTTCTGGAGTCTTTAGTCCAAGCCTTCAAAGGAAGTGCCCGTCCAATGGGCTGCTTTCTCCACAGCAGTCCTCTAGAGTAAGCATATGATAACTGTGATGATTTTCTCTACTATAGTTTCACTTTACAAACTTGATGGCCTCTTCATATCTGCGATCATCGATAACTGATTATCTCTCTCTTTTGTGTGAACTTATTGGTATAGGTTCATTTTAATATCTATCCAATCTTTTCGTTTCTTCGCTCGATCAGTTGAATACTGATTGTACGACTTGCACTTGTGTAGAGGTCGGTTTTGACATCGCCGTACCTGACTACAGTACATTTATGCGCGCGCGCGTGTGTGTGTGTGTGTGTGTGTGTGTGTGTGTGTGTGTGTGTGTGTGTGTGTGTGTGTGTTGTGTGTGTGTGTGTGTGTGTGTGTGTGTGTGTGTGTGTGTGTGTGTGTGTGTGTGTGTGTGTGTGTGTGTGTGTGTGCGCGCATTTCCTTACCGTGCATACTCGATTCTGCAAATAATGATATGAAGAATACCCTGCTATTCTCATGGTGTGAGTGAGAGAGAAAGTGCAAGATACTATAATCCGGTGTGCCTTCTAGATTTAAGTGAGCTAGTCATTTTGTGTGTGACTAAATAAGAGATGTGCATTATTCATATGACTATAGCATTTGTACATTTCATTGAAATCGTCGAACAGCTTTTGACGTGATTTGTTTAATAAATGGAATTCGACCAAAGGTTTAGTTTCATTTAATAATTTTCTCTTCGTATGATTTCGGTTGCTTTTCACTGAATTTCTCTATGTTTCTCGGTATATCCTTCCTCTCCATGACTGATTTATCTTCACGTTCTTCCGATCTGTCTTCCTCCCATTCGCTTCTCTCTTCCTTCCTTTTGTCTCTATCTCCTTTCTTTATCTTTCTATTTACCTCAACCGTTTCTGTTCTCTTTCATTTCTTCATATATTACCATTCGTGTTCTTTATGGATTCTTTATTGGGAACTGTTACCTCTCTTCATTTGTCGTTACAGCTTCAGTCGTTTATGCTAAGTGAGGACACCATGAATTATTAATGCATTTAGCCGTTTCACCTGCGCACTTGTCGACTGGGGGTTGCGGTGGGTATGTGATTCTCTCTTCTCTATTTATATCAATCCATCTATCTGGAGAAGTAGATGTACTGATACATACAAAATATAGATAGATAGATGATAGATAGATAGATAGATAGATAGATAGATAGATAGATAGATAGATAGATAGATAGATAGATAGATAGATAGATAGATAGATAGATAGATAGATAGATAGATAGATAGATAGATAGATATAGATATATACATTTATATATATAAGCATACACACACGTGTGTGTGTGTGTATAAGTATATCAATGTACATTTGTATACATAAATACATACACATACATTTATGCATAGATAGATAGACACATCATCATGTTTAGTATTTTGAGGTAAATCCTTTCTGAATATAACCTTATTCAAAATCGTAATTAATGATACAGCGACCGCACTTCCCTACGATCGGGCAGCCACAACGGCCGGGTGAATCCCTGGTCGTCAGAAAGGACTTGAACTTGAACTGATGTAACATGCCAAGTGACGCGTCCAGTCACCGAGGTAGGAAGTGACTCGGAGTCATCTTAGGAAGCTTGCCAAACACAATCTGAACAGCGGAGAACACCTGTCAGAACAGACACCTCAGTCCCGTTAGCAACAGGTGTCAGAGCGAAGCCACGGAGGACTCAGGCCACTCGAAGACACGGAGCAATAGCAATTACCAAGATGTGTAGAGTATAGCTTCTAAAAATACTCCAAAAGGTTAGATACTTGTTGCGTGTTAGACAGAGGACGTCTCGAGGTCCAGGCTGAAATGCTTCTCTCCGCTGTTTTTTTTTTTTTTTTTTTTTTTTTTTTTCTAGGGATGAGAGGTCTAATGTCTCAAATAAATTCTACTTCATTTTTTTTTTCATCCAATAACTTCACTTTGCTTCTTTTACAAGTGTGTGATTTTGATAGCTTATATCTACACATACGTTTCCCTTCATTCTCTGCCACTGAAGACGAGGAGACAAACTCCATGGCACTACCGACTCGCCTATTACGATGAACTGAAATTCATACATATTGTATGATTTTCCTGAGTGATGCTGGACTCCCTCCTCCCCATGCCATATACAGTGGAATGGGAGGGCGATGATGGGCTTCTCTTGGGCTCCTTGATTCATTGCTCAGTAGATCGCGTTTCCTTCCGTTTCGCTGGAAACCAATGCACAACAGGGCGTACTAACTTTTCTCCTCAATCCAGTTCAGTTAGATTTGCGGTCTAGTGGCCCGGCCTGTGTCAACTATTTCTAGTTAACTCATGTGATTTCTTTGAACTGCATGCTTATCGTGGTGGCTGAATTACGAGCAAGCGATCCAGCTGCCACGGAATAAGCATGTGGCAAACCCTTTTTACCAGCCCGGCGGTTGTGGTGGGTGGTCCCTGTCTTAGAAATTATGTGTTCACAATTCTGCAAGTAATGTAACAGGGTGGCGTTAGACTCCCCGCAGTGTTTGCATAACCCGGCAGTCTCATCATCAATAATTTGCCAAGCGCATGGGTAACCTAGTCTTAGTCTGTGTAATATGACCGGTACCTCTTTTTGTATTTGGAGGAAGGGCCAGTGGCTCATAGCCTGATGCATCTGAGTACCACTTGGCAGCAAGCGAATTTGTGATATTTTCTCTATGTGCTCCCCGGAGGACCGCACGAGCTGCAGCTTTGGTACTTTGGCTTAGTCCCCTTCGGCTAGGTTTAACGATCATGGAGGATGGGGGCATACCCCTGCCCTTTTTGGATAGTCTGTCAGCAAGCCCATTCCCTAGAATGCCAATGTGGCTTGGGACCCAGTTAATGATAATTCTTCATCCCTGACTGAGAATTCTTTGGGCTATGGTTAGTACAGTTGTCAGGAGGTAGATGTTGTCTTGGGGCATGCTATGCTGTAAGCTGTCAATAGTTGCTCCAGAATCTGTGAATGACAACGTGTCCTGCCCTTAGGGACGCGTGTGTCAGGGCTTCCATGATCGCAACCGTTCCAGCTTGGAGCGTTGAGGCATTGTCAGTGACCCTAATGGATGCTGAGGTATCCCTCGCTGCGAAGCCGGCGCCTGCAGTGTGGTTTATGGGATCCACAGATCCATCCGTGTAGTATGTTATGCTACCCGGAGGATTTATTTGATCAATGACCCTTTGTGCTTGTGCCTTTAATCTAGGCATGGAATATTGATCTTTTCTCATTGTAAGGTTTAGGATTGAGAATTCGATCCTTTCGTTTGCCCACGGCGGGGGTTCTTTATAGTCAGGCTGTGGGGAGTCCATGCCCTTGGTAAGCAGTGATTCTTTTAGTTGAAAGCGTATCAATACTCTGGCTGTGTGTGTAAGCCAAGAGTTGTCTGCAAACAACTGATAGTCTTGTTGTAGGCGTCTGAGAACTCTTTGCCTTAAGTATGAGTTTCTGGGTACCTGCAAGACCTTGGAGAGAAAGTGTGCTGCCATTAGATCGATTCGGGTGTCCAGGGACGGTAAATCAGCTTCCATGAGGAGGTTGATGACCTTTGTCCATCTGGGCGCACCCAGAATGATCCTGGCAGCTTCATTTTGTATTGTTTCCAGTTATTCTTTTAATGTTGTATTTAAAGCAATGAAGGCGACAGATGCATAGTCAGTAACAGGACAGACAGCATGTACATAGAAAGATCTTAGTACTTTGTGTCCTCCTATGTGTCTCCCTGTCATGACTTTCATGACTGACAGTCTTTCCTTGGTTCGGTCAAGCAGGTATTGGATCTCCTTTTTGAAAGTGAGTGTGTGTCCTATCCATAGGTATCCATAGGTAGACCTTTACCCATTCCAGATCCATACCCTGAACAGTGAGTTTTTTGTTTCTGACATTAGTTCTCAGAGCCATAGCTTTTGATTTTGCTGCCGAGATTTTTAGACCCGTCCTACAACACTCTTCAGACAATGCTGAGCTCTAGTTAGGCAGTGATTGCCAGAGGCTATGATTGACAGGTCATCAGCATAGATGATCTTGCATCCCTCTGGCAGGTGAATGTCGAGTATGTTGGACATGAGGGTTTTGAAAAGGGCTGGACTGAGAACCCCACCCTGAGGTGTTCTATTCTCAAGTGGCTTGTGCTGTGAGAGGTGGCCTTGAAATCTGACATTTGCTGATCTATTCTTAAAATAGTCAGCTATCTAGACTAAGAGTCTGCCTTTGACTCCTTTGTGGATTAGGGTCTCCTGAATGGCAAGGGGGCTTGCCATTTCAAAAGCCTTCTCCAGGTCTAGGAAGACAACCACAGCGAGTGAGGTGCATTTTGTGCTTAGAAGTGTGGAAATACTGTGAGCTGTACTCTTACCCCTTGTGAACCCGTGCAGGTGTTCATGAGGGGGTCCCGTCTTCCATCGGAGCCTGTTGAGTACCATCTTCTCAGCTGTTTTTCCCAGGCAACTAAGAAGAGAGATGGGACGGTACTTGCCAGGCTCCTTTGGTTTAGGAATGGGAACTATTGTGGCTTGTTTCCAGCTCTGGGGCACCGTGGCGGTTTGCCAGGATTTGCTGATGAGCTGCAAGAATGCAAGCTCTCCTGCCAGACCTAAGTGCGAAATGATGGGTAGAAGATCCCATCAGATCCCGGTGCTGATCCAGAGCTGGTTTTGTATGACTTTCTTAGTTCCTTAAGAGAGAACAAGGCATCAGTGTCATCGGATTCAAGTGCCTTGTCTCTGATGAGAGCAAGCCTACCTGAATTTAAGTTTTGTTGTTTATCCCTCAGCACTGGAGGCAGATTGTTGCTGGTTTTAGCTGAGAACTCAAGCACCTCTGACTGTGGGTCATGCTGAGTGCATTTCAGGGCTTGGTGGCTTGTTGTTTGCTTGACCTATTTCCACAACTCTGTAAGGCTGGTCTGGTGTCCAAAAGTCTGGCACCATTCCAACTACTTTTCCTGCCTTACTCTGTTGGTAGTTTCCTTGGCATCCGCAACAGCTTCCCTCAGCAGGGCAAAATTGTCGGGAGTTCTTTTCCGTCAGAAGTTTTTTCTGAACATGTTGACCCTGTGGTTGTCCTCTTTGATCTCGTCATTATAGTACCAGGCGTCTTTGTGCGTTCTGGACCATGTACGAGTTTTGGGGATGGTTTGTGATGCTGCCTGATTTATAGCCTGGATTAGCCTTGCCTCTAGCACATCCACATTTTCATTATTGTGGGGTTCACTGTCTCTCAGACAGCGGGCCAAGCCTTTCTGGAAGGCTAACCAGTTGGCCTTGTCTGTTTTCCATTTAGGAATGTGATGTGGTCTTTGGGCTGGACCTGCATCCATGAGGGTGGTGACTATGCCATAGTGATCATTTGTAACCGTATCATCGACACACCATTGAATTCTCTCCACCATTGTTGCAGTAGCAAAGGTAAGGTCTAGGACCCCTCCCCTCACATGCGTTGGTTCTTGGGTATTGAGAAGAGCGATCTCTGGGAATGTGTCAAGCACTTCTGCTATGTGAATGCCTGCCGCGTTCGGCCTTTTGCGGGGATTCAGCATTGATATGTGCATTGATGTCTCCCCCTATGATCGCTCGATCTTGTGCTGCAGTAGCACAGACCTGGTTTAGATCTAAACTGAGAAGCACACAGATCCCATAGTCAGTGGCTCCTCAAGCATGACGA